ACCAAGTGCAATGCAAAGCGTTGGATGCAATGGTGTAAAGCACGCCGCCACTGGACTCTAGAGAAGTGGAGACGTGTTCTCTGGAGTGACGAATCACGCTTCTCTGTCTGGCAATCTGATGGATGTGTCTGGGTTTGGCGGTTGCCAGGAGAACAGTACTTGCCTGACTGCATTGTGCCAATTGTAAAGTTTGGTGGAGGGGGGGATTGTGGTGTGGGGTGGCTTTTCAGGAGTTGGGCTTGGCCCCTTAGTTCCAGTGAAGGGAACTCTTAGGGCATCAGCATACCAAGACATTTTGGACAATTTCATGTTCCCAACTTTGTGGGAAGTTTGGGGATGGCCCCTTCCTGTTCCAACATGACTGCACTCCAGTGCACAAAGCAAGGTCCATAAAGACATGGATGAGCGTTTGGGGTGGAGGAACTTGACTGGCCTGCACCTCAACCCGATAGAACACCTTTGGGATGAATTAGAGTGGAAACTGCGAGCCCGGCCTTCTCGCCCAACATCAGTACCTGACCTCACAAATGCGCTTCTGGAAGAATGGTCAAACATTCCCATAGACACACTCCTAAACCTTGTGGATGCTTTCCCAGAAGAGTTGAAGCTGTTATAGCGGCAAAGGGCGGGCCAACTCAATATTGAACCCTACGGAGTAAGACTGGGATGCCATTAAAGTTCGTGTGTAAAGGCAGGCGTCAATACTTTTGGCAATATAATGTACATCTTGTTCACAGTTAGTAAGCAACCTTCCTTGTACATACACCATCCTCTACCTTTGTGAATGTTGCTACTGTCCGGTGGAAACAGAGGATAAGAAACATGTACAATGGGACACATTTGCATTGTTAGAAAATGACCCATACAATGCCTTCTCTTCAGGATGAAGCATAGTTTTAGTGTTGGTTAGAGGGTACAACGCCTTACTGAATAGCTGTCACTGACCCTACTGGCAATCACAGCTGCTGAAATGAACTGGCATCTCGAGTCATACAAGTCTTTCATCTGGAAAGATTTCTCAGACCTCTAAACAATAATTATCACATATTATCTCTCGATTTGATAAGTGGCAAGTTATTACAAATGACAGATAATGGATCTGTTCACGTATTGCATTACCTGTTAACCATATAGATGATTTAAATGACATTAAAACTGGCCAAATCACATTTGCTTCACGTCAAGACACCGCCTCATAATATGTCTGGAATTCCTTTACATTTATTTTTAATATAGAGCTAAAGAAAGTGCTAAATAATAAGAGCTGTTTACAGTTACATAAAAAAAGAAAAACATTCATATTTTTATTCCCTTTATCAACTTTTACCTTTTCCTCTTCAATGTTGTAGACATTTGTAGAGTTATTGAATACAATTCTATCAACAAAGCAATGCTTTAAAGCTGCCGTTCGCTAGCCCTGGAATGCACAAAAGGTATTTTGTACTAAACAGTAAACTGTATCTAATATTTACACAGGTGAGACAGGAAGGCTACGTCATGTCATTCAATTTTTATAGGCCAACTTCTTTTACATGGCAGCCAATTTGCCAACAATGGTTTGGTAAAAAGCTTCACACTGTATTAGCTCATGTACTTGGAAGAATCAAAGCATCCTCCACATTTAGTTTCCCACTATCCAGATACAAGTCACCACATGCATAAAACCCTAGCTCTATGATAAAGGCAGCCATCATATAATTGCAGTGCAGGCTGACGTTGTAGCGCATCTCGAAGGGCATAGTCTGTAAGAGGTGCTTCCCTTTGTTATCGGAGAATGGCTACAGGGCTCATTCACACTTTGTGTTTTCGTCATAGCATGTGTGCTAGTGTGCATCAGGATTGTGGGCTGTAGAAGGTGTAAAACTGTGGCTTTAAAAATGGCGCAAAAAAACCTGCAAGCATGAATCAATACATGGAAACGTTTTAAAGTAACACTACATGTCTTGATTCTGCCCTGACTTCACAGCCCAATGTGATGCCGGGGTGAGGATGGTGCCGTGTATGGCTACGCTAAGCGGCTATAACAAGTGCTACAAACTATACGGTACATATAGATTTTTATCAATGTCGGGTGTGATGGGCACCAGACCTTACTGTTCCATGTTCAGGAAAGGATCCGAAGTAATTAAGTATGTGCCGCTTTCATCCCCTGGCCAAGACAAACGTTGCATTGAAGTGGAAGTTGGGAGGTTTGTAGACAAACAGTAGTGTCACCTCTCAATATTGTCAGTGAGACAACTTTCTGTCTATAGCCAGCCAAACAGTGTGCTAGGGAAAAGATACATGGACTGTTCTTATAGTCAATTATAACAGGGTTATTCACAAAAGGATGAAGAGTTTGGAGAAGGCAGGAGAAGTGAACAATCTAGGACCACATAGCCGATTTGGGAAAATTCTCCAATTCAGATCATTTTCCAGTTCAGCTATGTTGTCCTAGATTGTTCACCTCTCCTGCATTCTCCAAACTCTTCACCCTTTTGTGAATAACCCTCTAAATCCCAAACAGGCACAAGGTTCTACTATGTTCTGCTCTAGGTAAGCACTCAGGATACCGAGTGATTACAAATGAGCAATGTAACTCAGCACATATTAACAATGATGCAATAATTGCTGATTGTGCGATTCAAGCACTGGCGTCATTTAGCTTGTATAATTTGGACACTTGGTAAATATCGGATGCTTTACCATAAAATCAATGTCATTAAGGTACATTAAGTCCACTGGTATGAAAAAACTAATTTGCAGCTTAATGTTTCCAGGGTTGGAAAATAAGTGCACACATTGAAGGCTCTGAAATCTGTTTGGATGACAACTACATGCAACAGAATAATGCAAAATGA